CACTGCACATCTGCTTCCCACGCCACCTTCCTAGGCCATTCAGAGAGCACCCCTTAATGAGCTTCCGGCTTGCAAAGCTCTGCCTTCCATGCTGTCTCCTGGGGAACCACAGAGAGTTTTTGAAGTGAAAGAGTTGTATAAGGTCGAAAAAGGACAGAGAGGGCAATATAAATTACGGAACTTCCATTTGGGAATTTAGTCCATGATGTGACTAAATGTCTATCTTTTTTCTAAATGAAATAATGTTTAATTTCTTAAATTAATGAATAAAACTGTGAGAATTAACAACATTCATATGTATATATGTCCATGTATATATAGTGAGAATATAATTTCATCGATAAGAGGGAACAAAAATAATTTCAAGTGTCTACCTGTAGTACTGGAAAGCATATTTAGACTTTTATAAGTGAAAATACCACAGCAACAGAAGAACCCATCTCCATTTCTTAAACCCGACTAACAAATGGTATTGGAATTTTAATTCTTTCCAGAAACACATGGCAGCTGGTATCCAAGGCCACCTGTAGTTATGAGAGTTATTGCAAATGTTCATTCAAAATAGGCTGTGTAAAGATGGGCTTTTTACATAAATCCTGACTTTTGAAAAATGTTCAAATTCCATCAGTTTTATAGATAGCATTTTTCAAAGGAATTGTAATAATCTTATTGAGATACTCAGGACATCAATGAACAGTGGGTTAATTAGACATGGTTAGATTTCTTTAGATCCTAATGATATGGCATTTCTTCAGTAGTCATTCTTTTATTACTTCCCTTTTTCCACATATACTTATTGCAGTCTAATGGAATTTCCTTGCAGAGCTCCAGTTATCCACATAAGAGGGAATACAAAGAATGATACAAAGAATGATATCAACTATTATCATGACAAGTCTCCATTTATGCATTAAAAAACTCCAGTCAGAAATAGTTTAGTTCTATTCTTTCCCATGTGTTAGTGAATTAAATAGCAAGGGTGGATTTCTTTTGTACAGGGGCATTAAACTCATTCCTTCCTTAGTAGTAATGCCCAGAGAAAAGAACCTGGTCAGGAACCTCAGCCCCCTCTGAATACAGTTTTCTCTCCCTTCAGATTTTCTGTTTAAAACATCAATAACAGATATATTAGGAAGGGAAAAGGCTGCTCAGAGGGTTCCATGGCTGCCCACACATACCTGAGTATGCCCAAGGCAAGGTATGGCATCTTCCGCATGATAGGACTATAGAAGGGAGAAAATATCTTAGATCATTTATTGTGTGTTTCATGTCAAAACCATATTTGTGAGGAAAAAAAGGAGTTGTCTGGGTTACTGAGGATCACAGCCCTTTTATCAAGATGGAATCCTACATGTGGCTGATATCCAAGCACCTGGACCACTTCAGCAAGTCTGGGTGTGGCAGGGGTTATGATTGTAGGGTGGGTAGAAGAGGGCATCAAGGTGAGCAGATGTTCAGCAGAACATGGGACAATTTGCTGCTGACAGTGGAGAGATCTTTCTGACCCACCCGGACAAAGGCAAACTCTATTCTTATTCCTATCTGCAGAATTCTCCTACTTTCGCCAACCAGTAATTGAGTCATGCCAGGAATTTAAATATAAGATGAAAAAATAGATTCCATGACTCTATCACTTACAGTCTCTAATTATGGCATGAGATTTCCTGGTGTTTGTTCTCTATTCTCTGTTAAACACATTGGTGGGTAACCACACCTTGCACTTTCTCTGTGCTCCTGGGACCCTTTGCTCCCATGGGCTGAATGATATGGCTGATAAGGGTCTGCTGTGTTTATTCACAAACTTATTCCAACTGCAGCCTTTATTATAATTATACAATACAATAACACATTTTGAAAACTGATAAAATATAAGTATAAAAAAAGAATTGTTATTTTCAGAAAACTAAACAAATAGTCTACCAGCACTTCAAAAAGGGAAGTTGCTCAAAAAATTGCTGTTGAATTAGACATGAATGAGACCATTGTAAAAAACTGGAGGAGAATAATCAGACGAATATCAAATAGTCTCCAAATTATTATTCTGTTTTAAAGCATCAAAACTTATCATCATAGAAATAAATTATGGATATGGTTTTGCAGATTCCCATCAGTAGACTCTTACTCAAAGGAAAGGACTTGGTTTGACATTAGAAGATTAGTGAATGGATGTACATGTGAAATTTTAGGGTATGATAAAACATTGAAGAGTACACATAATTTTTTTTATACCTCTTTATCTTAAATTGACTTTTTAAGCTAATCAACAAACCACTGACCAAATACACATTCGGTGTCTTCTGCATTTTATCCAGGCAGAGCCGCAGTGTCTCCTTTCTGATTTGCGGGAGAGCTTGTGCAGGAAGAACTGAAATATTGGGCAGTCTCCGGACTCCTACTCCCATCACATGAGGTGGAACGGCAGCAACCTTCCCAGGGTTCCTCCGTGCGCAGAAAGCTTTGGAGGCCTATGGCAGACCCTCCAGCACACCGAGTTCCACGCCTCCAGGAACCCGGAATGGGTATAGACATGAGAGCTGCCCAGCACAGCATAGTGAAGTTAACACTTATGTTTGTTGGGAATTTAAGGAAAGAGCTCTGACATTTTTCTTTGATGATGTAGGTCTTAATCTATAGCCTTGACTGTAGCATTTTCCAGGGGAGATTTCCCTTGTATTACAGAAATATAATAAATGAGGTACATCAAAAGGGGGGAGTCAGCGATACTTCTACAGGGTTTAAAAAATAAAGTTTAAAGGAAGCAGAATATCCATGTCATACATAATTATCAATTGAATACATTGCTATTTTTAGAACTATAAGCCAGCCACAAAGATATTGTTATAGGTACAGTCCTAGTGACTAATTTCACCATTCCCTTTGGGATCTGCACAGCCATTACAATAGGAGTGAGTAATTTTTGGAACTGATTTCAGATAATTTCACCTTCAACCCTACGTTTCCTTAATCATTCTCTTTCTTGCTGTGTGCAAATATGGAAAATATCAGATACGCTGAAGTTGAAGTAGGGGTGGAGCAGGTGGGAGAGGGAGGAATTCCTGTCTCAGCAACTTCCACCAAGAAATAGCAGTATCAAAATAAGGGCAACCTTTAAGTCAACTAGGATAAGTTCCTCAATGATGAACAATCTTGCATTTTCTTTTTCTTTCTAACACAGAATGACAATTTATTTACGTTTTTTTTAAAAACCCACATCTGTTGAAAATTCACCACAGAGGTATTCACACAAAAATAATGATATTTTATTTTAAATCAGAAGTCTTTTGAGCCTGGTCTGAGAAAGTAAAATATTTCACTAATTACTATGCAGTACATTTATAGCTTTAATTGTTTTTCTCCATTTCTCAAGGGACATGTTTCTTCCCGAAGCACAATTGCTGAAGCAAACATTTATTTTTATTGTTTTATGGGAAAGATGCTGAAGCACCTAACCTGCTATAATTATTATAATTCAACAAAATCACCTGCCAGAGAATTTTACTTATCTCATACCTGTGCCCCAAGCTAAGGCATAAGGCAAGGTATGCCTTAGAGTCTGCCATGTTTTCCTGGGTGAGCTTGAGAGAAAATAATCTGTTAGAATAAAACAAAAAAGATACTGATACACTATCTTCTAACCACTATTTTTCACACAAACTTACTGCTTTTTTCTTTCCTTTAAGAATGTCACCTAAAATCATGAAACATTAATTGTTAAAGCCAAAACACACTTTATGTGTATCCTTGAATGAATATGCCTTTTTAAAAATGACATAAATACATAGCCAAAGCAATACATTTTCACTGTGGAACACCTGGATCACAAAAGAAAGTATAAAGAAAAAAATCAAACTATGATCTCACCAACCAGAGATAAGCAATATAAATATTTGAGTAAACTGCCTTCCAGTGAAAGAATATAATGCGTTAAAATCTTAAAAACTATCTTCTATTCCTTAATAAAAACTTACATTCCTCAATAAAAACCTTTGTTACAAGTATTCATCCAGGACTTCACATTTCTTCAAATCTTTGGACAAAGTATTTGATAGTGAACTTGATGTGACAGTTGAGAATTTTTGCCACACTGAATATTAAGTAACAAGTCCTAAAGTCTAACAGATGTTGACTGATGAACAACACACTTGAACAGAAGGCTATTCAAAAGGATACTTTTAAAAATCAGGTCAGTTTCTTTAAAAGTGATGATTTCACACTGAGCTTTGAGCCAATCCTAGTAGGCTCTTCAGTGAAATATAGGATTTGTTTGGTTTATGTATTTTAAGCATGTACGAAGGTGGAACACTATCAGAAATTTCAACCAAATGTGGGAGCAAGGAAAACTCTTCAAGAAGTTTCTGTGAGCCTCCTTGTTGTCAATAAAAAAGAGGAGTCGCCTTGCTTTATTTTGCCCACATTTAGACATTCTGAAGCTATGTTATCATGGCTCCACGTGTTCCCAGTCAAATATGTCTAGTATCTGGGACCTTTTAGAGAAGACCATCTTGAAAGTGAGAGCTGCAGTTTTTTAGAGCCTAAGAGCAATCAAGACTGCCACTGGTAACTCAGAACTTGAAGTTTTAGTTTCCTCTTAAAGTCATGTTTAAAGCCATCTTTGGTTTACTCAAATGTCTTCATATGAAATCTTTTCAGACAGTCAGAAGCCTAGAGTGGGAACAATTTACTGGGGACATATCCTGAAAACTTATGAGTACATTTTTGACAACCAACTCCCATTTGCCTTCATATATATATTCAACTGAGCATCACTTCATTTTGTAATGTGTAGCAGTGGAAACTTCTTCAAAAAAACATCAAGTTAGAAGTAAGGTGGAGTTACCGTACTAATAACAGATTTGAGCACTGAGCCAAAAGACTCAGAACCCAAGGTCTATACCATATCTAAAAGATGTTCATGGCCACCAAAAAGAAACCAACCCCCCACATATGGGGAGGGGTGAGTGAAACCCAACAGCAACACCCACATGACGCATGGCGCTTACTTGAGGGCTGTTCTGTAGTGGTAGATCGCTTCCCTGTTCCGACCTTGGTCTTTGAGGAAATTGGCGTAGTTGTAGTGAACCTTGGCATTGTGGGGCAGGGTTTGAACTCCAGACCTAAAATTAATAAATTAAAAAAACAAAGAAAAACTGAGAGCACTGCTTAGGAATGTTGTCAGTTTCCTTCATATTTTACTAACAGTTTCATGCCCCTGCATTTGAAAAGTCCATTGCACCCTTTAAGTCAAGTCTTCCAAAATTTGTGAACTATATGAATTACTAAACATGCTTTGATGGGAAACAATGAAGGCAGGCACAGCTGTGCACAACCAATCATGCTAACTGCCTATGAAGCAGAGGTGGCCGGACCTGGTAAGATGAATCACTGGAGAAAAAGCCGGCATGCTCAGGGCACTAACTCAATTTGTTCCTTCCTTGCTTCCTTCATTCACTTACAGTCTCCCTTTTCTTAAAAAAAAAAATTTGAGATTGTCTATAAAAGTTCAACATCATAGAAGGAATGACTATAGACTTGTCTCCTTACTGATTTTCCATGAACATGAACACTTTCTATGGATTAACTCTGAGCAATTAAAAAAAATAAATAAACGCAGGTATAATTTATTCTACAGGAAATGAGGTTTTGCTCAGAAAGGGTAAGACCCTTGCTCATACGGTCACTTATTCTCCTGCTTGGGGTGCCGTAACAAAATATCTGGGGAACCCCCACAGGGTGACGGCAAACCTTTGAGGATGATACAGGAGTGGGTGGGAGCAGAAGAGGACCTGTCTGTCACTTGTGCTGCCTCACAAAATTAACCTGCACAAGGTCAGACAGCCGGCAAGTGGCACATATGGGATCCTGACCCAAGGAGTTTGGTTCTGAAGTCCCTGTTCTGTCACCTGCAAGGAGGCAGTGGCAGGGGGAATGATGAAAGTGGATGGGTTTGAGCGCTGTGTGGAGAAAAGGCTCCAGAACTTACATGGATTAAATGCAGGAGGAAGACAGTTAATGACAGAGAGGAAGGAGAAAGAATGACAACCTAGTTTCTGGGCAATTATGCTTCAATGTACCATCTCTTTCAGATAAGGTAGTTTTGTTTATTTTTTAATTTAAAGATAAGAGTACTAGGGGAATTTTACACACTACGTTAACACCTGTTGGGGGAATATGCTAGGGCACTGCACCTTTGCTGAACTTTTGTTGCAACAGCTCCTCAAACCAGCAAAACGCCCCTCCTTTAAAGTCCACTTGCCAGAGGCTGGGGGAACTCTCCAGGAAGAGTTTACCGGGAATGCCGGAGGCCAGGGACCGACCCAAAAGCTACAGGTAGATCATCAAAAAGCAGCAGGGGCCCAGCTTTTATATGGCTGCTTCGGTGACTTCAAAGGTACTGCGGGTAGCTAGGATTACTTTTATTGTTATTTTTTGTGGTAGGGTGAGGCTGAAAACAGATTGACCATAAATTTGTATGAGGAGCAGTTAGACTCCTGATCCTCTTCCTTCCCTGCATATCTGGGTGACTTTTTGAAACTATTCTTTCCCCATCCGAGCAGAAGGCAGGAGGTGCCCTCTCTAGGGGAGCTGAATTGGAGAGCTCCTGCGCTCGCTGGGGAACAACGCGCACAGCTGAAGCCAGGGCAGGAGCTGCACTTCAAAGGTAAGGTAAGTGAAATTCTGGACTCTGAACATGGGGGCTCCCCCCGTTCCTTCCCCATGTAAAGTTCTGAATGTGGGCACCAGGATTGGACCCCCAGGGAGGAGACTGGGGGAATGCTCTCCTCTCTGGGGAAAGGTTTACGAAGGCTGACACTGGGTTGGTCCAGTGAAAGCACAGGTTCCTGTAAACTTCCTGTGGTGAGGCCCGCCAGCTGACACACAGAGCTAGGATTTTAATATAATATTTAAAATGGACATGACCCAAAGGGAATTTAGTCACAGAAGCAGGATCTGGGTCAGTGTGACAGTAACGGCTTACAAAACAGATCCAATTTCTTTCCAGGAAAATTGCTGATTTTTCTTTCCAGGAAAATTTCTATCCAGAGCTAAATAGTTCACGGTAACAGGTAGGTTTTAGAGATAACGTTGATTTCAGCATTACTATAACGGGCATATGTATTGGAATTGATCCTTCTCTCTGTGTGATTAGCACGGTTGTTCTAATTTATGTGTCACAGAGGAACAGGCAATTAGGCCTGAGGAAACACGTTCCTTCCCGAGGTCAGGGCATTGTGCAGCGATGGCAAGAGGAAGTAATAATATTCATAACAGGCAAGCTGACGTGGTTGGAGTAACTGAAGTCCTAGAACATGCTGCTTCTCCCATTGTTGTTTTTGACCTTTATGTTCTCTCTGTGTTTTTATTTTCTGCTGTATTTTTCCAGCCTCTCATTTTACAATGAACATTTTATTACCAAAAAAAAAAAAAAAAAAAAAGTCAAACAACTGGCCAAAGGCAAAACTTTCCGTGCTGCTCTAACCGGCCAGGTCAGGTTGCTTTTCCCACCGGGGTGAGACTCCAACACTTGCCTTCTTGGTGCTATGATTTCATACTTGCAACTGTTTCAATGGAAACATGCAGCTTTGCACACATTTACTCCACAAGGAAATGCAGCATTCATAAATTATACAGCTGGGTCCCAAACCCTATTAATAATTACAACAATGACTATGAAAAACTTCTCTTTTTTAACTCAGGATCTCAATTTTCATGCACTTTGCATTTCTCCCTCACACCCCTCATTTGCAAACAACTTGAAAAAATAATGGAAATAACAAAAGCCACTTATATAGAGCATAACTCCGTATCTGTAGAACATCAATTAGTTTTGTTGGCATCACTGGACAACAGATCTGGAGAACCATGCCTAAATTCCTGATTAGATAACAAGCATTTTTAAAAAATGCATGGTAGTCAACCAAAGGTTAACAGGAAAGATAAGTAAGAAGAATTTGTGTTTATTCTCAAGTCTGACCCTGTTTTAACCTTTGGAATTATGAGGCCCCATAATTCCATATTTAGGATGGCTAGTCCTGAAGGAATGCTCACCTTGAATCAAGTGCTGGACTAAGCACCCATTTCCATAGATTATCTCATTTTATCCCTTCAATAACCTATCAGATAAGAAATATTAATGTATCTCCTATATTACAGATGAGGAAATTGAAGCTCAGAGAGATTAAGACCTTTTTTTTAAGGTTATAGACCTAGTAAGTTATTGAGGAGAGATTTCAACCAAGGTCAATATATGGTTAGAATTGTTCCTGGAGTTGACCGATATCTGATTCCCAACCAAAATGGTACCACAAGATACTAGTAACTTTAGAATTTCACTTTCACAACGTTTTTTATCATTGGTAAGCAAACTATGGCCTTGTGGTCCACAGAAGCATCCAAGTGTTTACTTATTATCTTTTTGGTCTCCTTCTTGAGACAATGGCAGAGTGGAATAGTTGCAAAAGCAAATGCACAGTCCACAAAGCCTGACATGTTTACTATCTGAACCTTTACAAAAGAATTTGCCAATCACTGCTTTACAGTCTCTGTCCTGGAAAGTCTGCTGATCTCTCTGGCTCAGCAATTTTGAGGGAAGGAAAGATAAACGTTTTCTGTGGAGGGGGAGGGTGATCTAGGCCATAAATTCTACGGTTCACTTAAACAGTTAACGAATGGGGTTCAGAGAGACCCTGAGGTAGATGCAAAAGAAAACATGTTGTCTCTGTCTTTCCAAGTATTTCAAAGATTGGGGTGTGGCAGGTATGGTTAAGTCACTTGCCCAAGGTCACATAGTTATTAAGTGGGGGAACTTGGAGTGGAGCCAGGAAGCCTATATCCAGACCTCACGCTCAACCGCTAAGCCTATCTTGCCTCATAGATTGTTGGTAAATGTCTGTTTAATTTATCTGAATATTACTCAGCACAGATGAATATATACAAACATCTGGTTTTGATGGAAAAAGAATATTCTTAAAGTCTCAGATTCTTAAAAGTTTTCTTAGGACATAGATAAATTATAACCAGCAAAATTTTTTTAAAAAACTATCTATAGCTTTGATTTGCACATTACACAAAATTCCATTTGATAACTAAAGGTCTCTCGGGGCACAAAGCCTCTCTAAGCACATATGTGGAATGGCTGTGTTTCAGTAATCAACTGTTCACTTACTATATACTTCCATGTAAAAGAAAAGAAGCTTGTGGATGTAAGGTCAATGAACTTAAAAAAAAAATTTCTGGCATCAACTGTAGAGAGTTTGAACACTAACTTGTTATCCTTGAAATAAACTGCTGCCTGCCAAAATCCATCCCCAAAGTTGCTCCTATTAAGCAGTAAAAATCATTAGAGGATACAACTGCTGTTAGTACCTTTATTCACGCAGGGATTTAACAGAGGGCAGAACCATTTCAAAGTTTCTCATTAAAGTAATCACTACTGGAAGTAAAAAAAAAAAAAAAAAAAAAAAAGCCTAGGAGGAAGTCATATTCCTGAACTTCAACGCAGTGTGTTTACAGAATGACCTCAGCCCTGGGGAGTAGGAGGGAACAAGTCTCCTGTGGGGTGGGAGAACGGCACTGAAGGCAGAGGGGTATGACAGACAATGAAAAGGATCTGAAGCTGAAAAGTGAAAAAAAAATTTTTTTAAATAAAATCAAATCCACACAAAACACCTTACGTGGCTGCAGGACCCTGCAGTATCCACTGAAATACCGATGAAGGCAGTGATGTAGCAGTAACAAATAAACTAATAAGATATGCGTGAGAGACTACTTTTTTCTATTAAAAAGTTACATTGCCCAGTAGTAGAATCCGATACATGATTTTAAAATAGCAGAGGCGTGCAGTGAAAATTTGTCATATTTTGTTGTCCATTCATTCAACTCATTTATTTATTCACCGGCTCCCTCATTGTTGGCAGCCCCGAGTCTGTGCCCCTCTTGCAGGACTTGGATTCCCAGTGGGGAATTCTCTCTCGTCTCCCTCTGTGAAGTCTCAGTAGGACACCAAGGTGTTCTGCCTGCCCTACCTTGTCCCACGGAAGTCAGAGAAGCTTCTTTGGCCAGATCAGTCATCTCCGTGCCCTTGTGGGGACAAGGGGCAGGCACATGACCTAAACTCAAGCTCAGCCACAGGACTTTATTTTCCCCAGGACTTTGACGTGAAAATAGGAAAAAAAAAAAACTGGTATAAGTTTGCCCATGTGTTCCCATGAGAGTGCACGACTGCTCAAGACAGACAATCCAGATGCCTGGTTCCTGTCTGCTACATCCCAGGTCCTCTACCCACCCTTCAGTTCAGTGCACTTTCTCACGTTCTTCCAATATTTACCCCTTTTTCCCCGAGCGCCCCAATTCTGCTTCAGTTGTTTGCCTCAGAAGAATAAGAGGTGGGCACCAGCTGAGCAGGGAACCTAGTAAAAACCGTGTTGACTGAGGTGGCCAATTGTATCCTAAGTCAGGATAGAAGCTAGAAGGGGGCACAGGCTGGGATGCCTGGGGAAAATACTGTTGGGGTGCTAAGTGCAGTAGTGACCGGGGAGCAAAGGTGAAGGTCACCAACACTATGGCATTAGGGAGACAGACTAAGCCCAGGAACACAGTATGACGAGCTATAGTCCCAAAGAGTGTTTACACTTTATGACAGGTTTAGGGCTATAATTTGACATTGTTATATTCAGAAACGGCTTCCACATCACATAATAACTTACCAGAAGATGAAAAGGTCTTCCATTTCCTTGTTCCTAATTAACATTTAAAATAAAGCAACTAGATCACAGATTACAACTTAGTATTCCAGAATATTTAAAGAAAATGTATTGCATTTCTTTTCCTTCTTGTTGTATGCTCACCTTTCCCATTCACTTGCCTGAACAGTGAATTTAGGCTACCATTTTCCGTGTGTTTAGAGTTGATTTTATAGCCCTGCTGATCATGAAGACTCCAAAACCTTCCCATGAACCTTATTTACATAAATTCACTTAACACGAGCTCCTGTAAAACTTTATATAATATCATTTTTAAAAATATATCAAAGTGAAAGCAAAATGAAATTGTATCTTCCATTTAAAATGTCACTAAAATTTTTTTTTCTGGATTAATAAATGTGGTTAGACCCATGTCAGCTCATTTGTTTGCAAACAAATATGTAAGCACAAAAATAAATGGGAAGAGATCACTCTGATCCATCTGATCGTACCTGAATAAGGACTCTCTTGACAGCCAGATTTCATTCTGCTTCACAGTTTTCCAAGAAAAAAGCAGCAGCAGCAGCACGGTGGACACTGTCAGCGTGGTGGCCCCACACCGGTTTAGCCAAGAGCAGAGCTTGTTCAGTCCGTGCACGAAGAGGATGCAGTAGCCCATACTGGAAAACAGGGTGGGGAAGCAGGATTACTTTGGGGGTGCAATGGAGTTCCCCTGAGCATTCTATCCCATACGGCTAACTTTCAAGTGAAGCTTGTCCTGTGAGAGAGAAACAGCAGATATAAGCTTCCTTGTCTCCATACAACATCTACGTGTTGGTCCTTTCAGTTGCATCAGCACATTGGCTATCCTTGGGCCTCAGTGTAGAGAACAGGTTCCTCTTGTAGGCTCACACTGCCTTGGATCTCAGCAGCTCAGGCATCATGAAAAGTCCCTCATGCTTGTTCTTGGGTCCTGAACGGGCTCTCTAACTCTTAATCTTTCATGTTACTGGCAGTGCATCATGCTACTGGCACTGTGTGTCCAAATGTGGACTCCGTGCTACAGCAAGTCCCATGACAACTTTGTGGGAGACAGTGCCTGAGAGTTCCCTATCAGGTAGAAGGATGCTGGTCACCAAGGGCCATTGGTCTCTCTCTCCAGGGACGTGTCACCTAGTATGTGCTATCTGGTCATTCAAGTCCTTAAGCTGAAGAAAAATCTACCTGACAGGCCAACTCCTGAGCCTTGTAGCTGGGAGCTTATCACAGACAAGCTGTATGGATACGATACTCTTGCTGACACTGGCTCAGCTTTCCAAACAGACATGAAGAACCCATTATGCTATCAGAGTGGAATTTTGACATGTTGAAATCATGTCTCTAAAAGCCTTTGGTTTGGTGGACAGAACATGGCTCCCAACATCATCTACACATCCACAGGGATGCTTCTTACCTGATGGCCTCAGAAAAACTCACACTTTTAGTTGTACCCATTATTGCTATGTGCATTTTAATAAAAATCCACTTCATTCCAAAGATAATAACTATAAATTATTATAGGATATTTTAAGAATAATACAAGCTTGTGTAAATAAATCCTACATTAGTCAGACTATTAATGCTATACAAAACCCCAAATTGATATAGCCTGCTTACTTGTTCATTATTTATTCATTTGCTCTCTATTATGTGACTGGTAATACGCACATCACTACAAATACAATTATGAACAAAACAGGGATGTCACCCTCAAAGAACCACAGTCTAGTGAAGGAGGTTGGTTTTGTAAAAGGAAACACTTTAACATTCTCATTTCTAACACATCACCTATAAAAGAAACATCTCTCCACTTTCCTTCTTTTTGCCTAAATGTCTGTGCTTTAGTATCAAAGGTAGAAAAACAAGAGGAAGGAATTTGAGGTTCCTGACTTGGAGACACTGGCAATCAATTCAAGTTAGAGCTCTAATTCCATAGTTCAAGTCCCAAAAGTTGATTGGTCAAGTTCCCTAGAATTTTAGGGTTCACTGTTTGGCTAAAGGGAATCACCACATCATTCACCACTGGGGGATAATAGTTTGAGCCAAAGAAGCCCATCCCAATCACTGCATTTGATTGCCACAAGCACCTTGCAGAGCCCGGTAAATGCCAGAACACAGTCACTAGTGCAAAAAACAAACAAACAGACAAAAACAAGAAACCCACTTTCGACTTTCCACAGCTCTTCATGTTTGGTCTTAAAGGTATTAAGATTTTCTAAAAATCTCCCATTTTTGTACAACTGATCATGCTGATGTCATTAGTGGCACCATGGCAGCTGAAATTCACAAGGCAGCTTGCCATTTACTCCTTCAGCCCTAGCGAGATCCCAAACCCTGACTAAGCCGGGTGCTTCTCTGGCCAAATGAAGGCCTTCCACGCTCCATTCTTTCATTCACCAGATATTTAATAAACACTGATTACATATCCAACATTGTTACAGGCACCAAGAACAGATCAGTGAATAAAACAGAGTGATTGCTATTGTGACGCTGACCATGGGTAGGGAGAAACAGCTGATAAGCAAATAAAGAGTATGTCACTTAGAGAGGTATGACATGTTGGATGGAAAAACGAAATCCAGCAGAAAAGTGACAGAGGGAGACTAAGGTAGGGAGGAAGTTGAGATTTAATACAGGTGATGGTCAGAGAAGGCCTTGGAGAAAAGGTGGCCTGTGAACAAAGCTCTAAAGTGCAGAAGGGCGCGCCATACGGGTGCCCACCTCTGCAGGGGTGGCTGTCTTCTCAAGCCTTCCTTCAGAAAGAGAAGAGGAAGGTGAACTGATTTGTGGAATTAGGCCATACAGCTCTGACATAGTAGAGCAGAGAGAGCTGGGAATTTCAGATTCCAGAGCCCACGCTCCACATGCTGTCCTGTTGCTGGAGTTTAGACCTAACGGCTGGTTCCTGTGTCCCTCACACCTTATCGCACAGCTTCACCTCCTTCCTTCCCAACCGCTCCACTCATGAAGTCTAAATCGCTGCTTTCTGTCTCTGTGAGGGAAACAGAGCTGCCATCTGGCAGAGCAGCGGGGAAGGAAAACACTAAGATTCTGACAGCTCCGGATCGATGGCCACAAAGGCGCAGAAGACAGGAAGGAGTAACAAAGATAGCAAAAATAATTAGCTATCTTATATGCATGTATGTTCCTTGAGTGCTTCCTATGTGCCAGGCACTAAGTATTGTACTTCGTAGGGGACTATTTACAGCATAATGGGACAAGGGCAGTGCTGGTTTTAAATGTATTATCTGATTTAAACACTCAACCCTCCGTATGTTTCATTTCTTAAATGAAGAAATTAAAGCTTGTAGCAGTTAAATAACTTGCCCATAGACCCAGGAGCTAGTAATAGAGTCAGACCAGAAGACCCATGGCCCTAACACTATGCTATAATCCAGGGGTCAGCATGCCTTTCCTGGAAGGGGCCAAGGAATAAATCTATCAGGCACTTTAAGCCTTAAGGCCTCTGTCTTTCCTACTCAACTCTATTTTTGTAGCAGGAAAGCAGCCACAGACACCATGTAAATGAAGGGCATGGCAGTGTTCCAATAAGATTTATTTATAAAAACAGGTGGTAGGCCAGATTCCACACACGGGCCACAGGTTTTTACTCCACCTAAACCAAAATGAAGGGGAACACCATTCCTTTCCACTCAGCACAAGCTGAGTGATAGGTATCAAGTAAAAGGATAATTTTTTTCCAACATCATGGTATAGACATGTGGTTTAAAGAAATGTTAGATTATATATAAATATATATATTTATTTATATATATATATGTGTGTGTATATATATATATATAAAAATAATCTCCACTTAGGGTTGCAAATTTCTTGGAGAGTATCACATTCTTATAAACTTGAATACTGTATCACAGAGATTAAATGTTTCTCTACTATGGCATTTCATCTTTAAACATCTCAGCAGCAGGGGTGAGAATTACCTTCTATTGCTAGGGGCAGGGCAAGTCCTTATTTTTCAAAGGGGAACGTCAATCAAATGAGAGACTACATGTTTTTCTGGCCTCTAGAGAAATGAAACTAGACATGAGTTTGCTCTGGTTTATCTGGTTAAGGAAAAGCTGGGCTCTGACCAGAGACCACTACATAGAGCACAAAGTAGTCAGTGCACACCGCTGTTACTTGACAAAATCATACCCTGGAGAACCCAGAGCCAAACTCTGGCTGCCGAATGTTCGGTTCAACTCAGCAGCAAGATGCATTTTCAAAACACACTTGAGGAGCACCGCTGCTGTCTCAGAGAATGGAGCTAATCACTTGTACACAGGCCGATGCTAACTCCAATTTGAATGTGATTTATTGACAAGCTACTCAGCGTGCAGTGAATACAATAAAGACTTGCCTCTCTTCTTCGTACTTTTATGATGCATACTCAAAGCAAACTAAACAAGAAATGCAAATAAACAATGTTTTTACTTTCACATTAGAATAAAAAAACATTTTAAACCTCTGATAACTTTGTGAGCAATTAAGCATTGTATAAATAGTACAAATGTACTTTCTCAAACTTTGCCCAGAAGCTCGTAAGTGGTAACAGAATAATACTTTCCATTTCCATTTCCATACACTCTCCAAAATGACAATTTTCTATCTTTCAGACAATAAGTCTTCTGTATTTTCAACTTAACTCATTTTTTAAGAAGATTTTTATTTATTTATTTATTTATTTATTTTTAGAGAGAAGGGAAGGGAGGGAGAAAGAGAGGGAGAGAAACATCAATGTGTGGTTGCCTCTTGAGTGCCCCCTATTGGGGACTTGACCCACAACCCAGGCATGTACCGTGACTGGGAATCAATCTAGCAACCCTTTGGTTCCCAGGCCAGCACTCAATCCACTGAACCACACAGGCCAGGGCTACTCAACTCTATTTTTGTAGCAAGAAAGCAGCCATCAACACTATAGCCAGGCCAAGTATTTTATGATATTTGCTATGGCTTCACTTCTTGTTTAATTAGATACAGCAAAGTCAATCTTTTTGTTATTAAGCAGAACAGAAATTCTACCTTGTAACACTGAGCTCAAACAACCCACTGAAAGTGTCCATAAATTTATCTATCATATTAATGATACAAGACAGATACAATCTTCCCATTTTATTACTTTAAAAAATTCCTAACTTTAGCCCTGGCTTGAATGCTCAATTGGTTAGAGCGTCCTGATACACCAAGGTTGGCAGGTTTGATCTTATGTCAGGACATATACAAGAATCAACCAATGAATTCATAAATAGGTGGAACAACAAATTGATGTTTCTCTCTTTTTTTCCTTCCTCTCTTTCTAAAATCCATAAATAAAATTTAAAAATTTTAGAATTCCTAACTTTATATAATTTAAAATGAAACACATCCCTAGTTAACGTCATTCTAATCTGTTGAATCCCCAAATGGCAAATTATTCAATGGTAAGATCTTATTCCAGTCTCATGGATATTGACCCAAAGTGGTTAAACAGTAAAGCCCTGGAACGCTGAGCTCAGAACAGTTGCTTAACTCTGTAGCTGGGAGGCACCAGAAGTCAGTGGACCAGCTTCTGTAACCCAAGACTCGTTAGTGTTCCCATTCCTGCCTTGTTCTTCTATCTTTATATTTCATGGATGGGGAAATTTCTCAGAAGACTGAA